CATTCCCCTCCTTGTGGGTGATAAATGATTGAGATATTTTCAATAATCCATACCTTCTGCAGTGCCAACGATGTTTAATTTCAACTTCGGGTGCTCTCGTAAGCTGAAACGCTAGTAAGCCCTTATACTAATACTACGAGTACTTGGCTGAAGGACGCACCTTTGGTACCATGCATAATAACAAGCAGTATTATAACTTCTAAGATTATATCTCTTGGCCTGTATTGCTCGAAATATAGCATCAAATCCATCGCCTTATGAATCGTAACGGATAATAATTACACATTAGTTCTGTAGGGTAGCCAAAGTTTGATTATTATGCACAGATTTATTAGTGTGCCCACTGCCCAGCTTTATCGATAAGCTCATAATTAATATGCCCGTAGTAATATACGAGCACAAAGGGGCTTCTTCAAAATCGTGCGATGTTGCAGGTGTATGGATCGGCTTCTCAGGCTAAAATATCATTTTCGGAAATTTAATGGATACTTTCTTTCTCTTTCTGAAGGTGAATGGAGGTAAACTTATAATGAAAGTAAATTTTAAATTTTTGGATGAGATTTTTAACGGTTGCAAATCGAGAATGTGTTTCAAGTGAATGTATTGAAAATTTATTTTTCTCGCTTATTATATTTTGTTCCGTCTTTTTATTCAATAGAATTTCAATATCGAATGCATCATAGAACTTGACTTGGTGTCGATATTGATAAGTTGGCAAGTTATCAAGTTGGTGTCGAAACTGATAACCGAGAGCATTCGTTCGAGTTACTAAGCGTCATTAAGGTCCCAGATCATCATGTTGTTCTTCACTAAGAGAGGCGACCGTCCAAACCCTACTCCGCTCAAGGTGAGGATTCATCCTCTGTATTTTTGACACTCATTTCATAATAGTTTACTTCTCTATTAATTTATTTTTCGGATGCTGTACACTGTTAGAAAAAACAGTGAAAAAACGGTCCTACTGGCGTTCTAGTGGCCGGTCGCCCCGTGAAAATAAACTGTTTCGCTGTTTTCATCAGATGTTTTACGGATTTCTAGTTTAAATAAGAATAAAAACGGCGACACGGTGTTTCTTTTCGCGTCCTGACCGGCCACTAAAACGCCGGTAATACCGTTAACGGTAATTCTTCTAACAGTGTAGGCAAGCTTCTCTAATCATTTGTGTGGTTTTGGTGGTGAGTTGCGTAAGAATGTTTTGAAACTAACATTAGCATTGAGTAAACTATAACTATAAATGTGGGCGACTTACTTCATACGTCACTACCCATGCCGTCAGTAGCATCTCTTACGTCACCTTCCGTGACATCATTTTTTGTAGTAAGCGTCTATATAAGCTCTTGAAGCTTATTACCAGTCAGTCAAAGACCAACACCTCTTAGCTGCAGTCCATCGCAGTCTAACCCGACGCTTCCACAATTCCACAACGTTTATCGGCTCCGGCACTCGCTTGTCCGACTCGCGGTTGTGTCGTTAACTCCACCTTCTCAACTACTGTAATAAAACTTCACCGTGCCTCATCTTGTAATCTTATGTTTAATAATCGTGCCTCATCTTGTAATATTATATTTAATAATTAGTAATCTAATGTTGCCACTCTCTCATTCTCCTGCTATAGCTTTTGGACAACAATATGAACCTATCGGAACTCATAGATAAATCTTATATAGCATTTAATAATAAATTAATCGACGAATGTCACAGAAAAAACATCCGACACTGGCGCCCGAACAGCCAGCAAAGACATCCGACAATAAATGTGGGCGGTAGAATTTGTTGCGCTTTACCTTCAAATGATTAAATTAAGTTTCTATTATAAAAGTAACTCTAATTTTTTAGTAATAAATCATTTGAACTTGCTTAAACAGACGTATCTTTCTACTAGAACTGCAAGAGTTCATTTTTATGTGCTCTAAGCTTTCCAGTAAAAAACTTGATTGACTAATTTACTTAGTTACTTACTTAACTAATTATTATTAAGTTAGTATTATTAGTATTTACTTACTTATTTACTTACTAGTATTAGTAAGTAAATACTTAATAGTAAGTAAGTACTTATTAGTTACTTACTTAACTAATTTTTTTTACTTACTAATATACTTATTATGCCCAACCAAACATAAGTTTTTATTACAATTCTGGTGTGAATAACATTGAAGCGAGTTTAGAATCTCTTTTAATTGAGGTGCGAAGCGTTGAGCTCGACGGAGTGTAGCTGGGCTACAGTTTTCGTGCGCTAGCTTGTTGCCACCGGTGCGCTGGCAGAGCAGCGTGTACCTGTTCTATAGTGCGCTAGCTTGTTGCCACCGGTGCGCTGGCAGAGCAGCGTGTACCTGTTCTATAGTGCGCTAGCTTGTTGCAGAGCAGTGTGTGAACCGCGCGTTTTTTGAGTCGATTGTGTCACATACATGAAGCTTAGGAACATAAGGCTGCGGTTAAATTCCATGCTGGTCGTTGAATTTTTATCATAAATAATTATGTTAACGACAAAATGCTCTTATAGACGCTTAGGAACATAAGGCTGCGGTTAAATTCCATGCTGGTCGTTGAATTTTTATCATAAATAATTGTGTTAACGACAAAATGCTCTTAGACGCTTAGGAACATAAGGCTGCGGTTAAATTCCATGCTGGTCGTTGAATTTTTATCATAAATAATTATGTTAACGACAAAATGCTCTTAGACGCTTAGGAACATAAGGCTGCGGTTAAATTCCATGCTGGTCGTCGAATTTTTATTATAAAGATTTATGTTAGCGCAAAAATGCACTGAGACTGGCATTGTGATTTTTGCGTTTTTGTTTCGATTCAATAATACATTGATTATTGAATCTGATACACATAATAAAATTCAGACCAGTTTTTGTAGTTCTTTTGGAACTACTGCTGGAAGGATTTTAATGACTCCTACTATTCGTATCTTTTATTAGTTATTGATAACAATAACTAATTAATATTAATATTGCAGCCATGGAGCCTCACTTGGGCATGATGAATGCCTGGATTATGTGTTGAACTGTAGGTCGTAACTGATGTTGATTGATGTTTTCCATGAAAATTTTCCATTGGTCGAAAAATGTCTTTATTTTTGTTCATGAATGAGATGACCGTGCGTAAGAATGATATGGAAAAATTCGCTTGCTTTAAGTCTTGTTGGATGAGAGTCGGAAACAATGTTGTGGGAAAGATGCGCTATGTCGAGGTTTTCAGGCCCTGAGTTTAATTATTTTCAATTCTGAGTTTAATTATTTTTTCAGCTTCTCGTTATTATCACTCAGAACGTAAATTTTTTATGTTGCGTAGTCGACTTTTTTGTTGATTTATTTCTGTTATTGTAAGGCATGTTAGCATAAGGTTAAACAATCACAAAAAAGGTTAAAGGTTAAACTATCACCAAAATTTGACCCATTGCTCTAAGTTATGTGGACAATATCAGGCACATATAGGCATCATTTTCTTATTGTAGGATATTTATGTGTTCATGGTTCGCCTCCTTTATTTGTGACGCGTTCAGTGCGTTTGTTTTTTGTGCCCGCCAACTGAGCGAACGGGTCGAGCCATGGATGCATAATAATGCAGGATGATGTTCATCCACAATTGCTGTTTGATTTGTTATTTTTGATGAATTTTGTTTTGTGTTTTGGTCGACGCGGCCACGAGCTGCCATAAAATTAGATCAGTTTTATTGTTTTATCCTGATGTGATATTAGTTCATTTCTAAATTATTCTTAATTATTTGTGTGTGATAAATGTTTGCTTTGCATTGTGTATCAGATGAATAATTTGTCTTGTATTTGTGTGTATTAGTATGTATGTATTTGTGTGTATTAGTATGTGAAAGGAATATCTGCTTGGTATTTGTATGTGAGACGAATATTGGCTTTGTATGTGTGCGTGAAATGAATATTTGATTTGTATTTGTATACGATATGAATATTGATGCAGGGCATCGTGTTAGCCCGCAGTTCGATGAGCATTCCTTGCGCGTTTGTATAAATCTTGAGTGCATTAATTGATCACAGCGACAGTTGCAGCTGCTGTTGCTATGGGGTCTGTGTTACCATGCCTTGTGGACGTATAAATCTGACCCATGAATTTGCCTAGCCTAAAAAGGCCTAGCCTAGCCTAAAGTGACTGCCGACCAGCCGTGGCTGGGCTGTTCTTGGTCGGGGTGAAAGTGCCTGGTTTGTTAGGCGGTCGCGCAAGTGTGCATGGAAAATCATGAGGTCGCTGGTCTTGCTTAAGATCTTGCAGTCAATCCTGTAGTAGCGATCTATATGTGATGATTCAAGATAATTTGGCCTTTGAATAAGAAATACATGGTGAAATAGGAAGTGAGTAAAACATGTTTTTGTTTTCAACGCTTACATCAAAACATTTAATAAAGTATTTAAGTGCGGTAACACTATTAACGTTTTCTGACAAAGATTCAAGATCAATTCTAAATTTGAGAGCCGTGTTTCTTTCTTCGACTATCCATCTTGTTAAATCTACATTCAGCTTTATACTTTTTGTGTTTAGAGTTTGCTACTTGGAAGCCTGTTATGTGAGCGCCGTGTTGTCATGTGAGCCTGTCATGTGAGCACCGTGTTGTCATGTGAGCGCCGTGTTGTCATGTGAGCGCCGTTTTGTCATGTGAGCGCCGTGTTGTCATGTGAGCGCCGTGTTGTCATGTGAGCGCCGTGTTGTCATGTGAGTGTTGTCATGTGAGCCTGTCATGTGAGCGCCGTGTTGTCATGTGAGCGCCGTGTTGTCATGTGAGCGCCGTGTTGTCATGTGAGCGCCGTGTTGTCATGTGAGCCTGTCATGTGAGCGCCGTGTTGTCATGTGAGCCTGTCATGTGAGCGCCGTGTTGTCATGTGAGCGCCGTGTTGTCATGTGAGCGGCGTGTTGTCATGTGAGCGCCGTGTTGTCATGTGAGCGGCGTGTTGTCATGTGAGCCTGCCATGTGAGTCTGTCATGTGAGGCTGTTAACGGAGCCTGTTGGTCTGTTGATCGCTGCAGAAGATCAAGGCGCCGTACTCGAAGTTCTACTCGATGGTCAGGAGCCAAATGACCATCTCGAGTGAAGGAGAGTCGGTCGAGGTGGGGTACATCTTAGCCCCGTTAGTTGTTTCTGTTTTACACGTCGTCGCGTCCCCACTGAGCTTACCGTGCTTCTAGTTTCTTAACCTTCCTATTTTTCTACAAGACTTCACTGTTCTTAGTTCTCTGGTACTGTCCTAGCTCCTTTAACATCTTTTGTCACTGTCATCATCTTGATTATGTCCTCGCAATGTTATTTTTAGCTGGGTAGATTCTTCACAGTTTTATTTTGTTTGTTTGCTTGTTAATCTCTATAGATCTTGTTCTGTGAGCAATCTTATATAGCTGCATATGATCTATAACCTGCTCCGTATCTGAACTGAAAGTTCCTCCTTTACTACACCCCTTCCGACAACCTGCAAATAAGCGGGTAACTTCTTCAATTTTTTCATTGTGCCGTCACGGTAATCGTGAATTTATTGTTATTTCACACTCTTGACGAAATTCAAGACATCACTTTATGAGAGCACATCTCCGTGTCGAACAAGTTTAGTACTCGCGGGTGTCAACTTCTAAGTTCTATTAACATTATAATAATCGGCGCTGCTACGATTTTCGCTGTTGAAAATCGCTCAGCCCGCATTATTTTTCATTCGCGTATTATAATTGTGAAGTATGACGCGTAGTGACATCGAATAAGGGCGCTCGATGTTTTACTGCTTGTCACTCTACAAAGAATCTGTACCCTAGGTTAGCGTCATGCATGCATCTGTATAAAGAATACTTTGAGAATGATTCAAAGTAATTAAAATTGAATGATTGCGCTCGTTTTTTATAAATGTTTCTGTAATAGTTCTAGGTTGTTGCAGCACTACTTGTCCATCAGTCGCCAAAAAGTATTCGTGCTTGCTTAGTTCACGATACTTCTAGCGTAACACGCAGCTAAGCGTGCAATGCCACTGCAATCATCCTGGGTCATTGGCTGTCACCCTCATCTCCTTATTATTCATCCTTCCCAACTCGTATAATGTTCTCTGCCTCATACTATCGCGTACGTACGTGCGTATCTTTAGTGCAGCGGCCCAAATTTAGTTTCTTGTGTAGTGTTCCGTGTAGTTTTCCTTTAATTTCATTAGTTGCTGTGAAAAAATATGTGCACAGCTAGTGCTTGCATTAAGTTAAGAACATATCTGCACTTCTATACCGCTACGTCAAAATTCTGACATGTGTTGCTGCTTGATGGGTCATAGAACTTAATTTTAAATATAAGTTTTTCCCACTTCAAATTTTCTACTTTTACCTCCCGGGGATAAACTTGACGGATAATGGTAAGTTGTACATTGAATGTTAGGAAACTTTATGAATGGACTAAGTTAAGCCATTTTCTTCATCTATCTATAACTTAATCTAAGGCGATCTTTGTGTAATTCCTTACCTAGAAAGTTAACAATCACAGGTGCGCGGGAAGTACGCATCCTGCGATCCTAGTTCTTGTTCTCATGTCAGGTATCAGTAAATAATTTCTTCCATGTTTGTAAGACCGTCTCTTTATTGTCGGTCTCTCACAGCATCACAATGAGGATGACTTCCATGCATATCTTGGAACTATCCAGTACAAACACACGCTTGTGGCTCTCAGATCATTCTCCATTGTGACTCCAAAAACTGTTGATTTTAAGTTAATCTTACTTTAATGTTTTATTTTAGATCCTTGCTCAATCATATTTCTCAACTTTCTTTTACGAATTTTTATGGCCGATTTTTTTCGTTGACATCGAAGCGAGTTCGTTGATCAAACGTTGCTCTTCAAGTTTGGCTTAAGCGTCTGGTGGAATCTCTTTGCATTTCATTAATGGCGGATAGAAAGTGGAACACTATAGTGCATTGCATAAAGCATTCAACTGTCCATGGTTTTCTGTGTGAATAAGTGTTTATGCTCGGCGTTCGTTCGTTCGTTTCTTTTAGTGTATTCGGATTACCTTATTTTGTTCATGGATCCGTTGATTTTAATTTAAGTAGGCTTAAGTGTCGCATGTTTTAGGAATTCAAATGCAGTATTTTTCTCATTCGGAAAAAATGTATTCGAGTTTCAGGTTGTCAAAACTTAACGCGGTTACGACGATTTCTTTGATCGTAAGGACATAACTTAATTATCCAGCTACGGAAAAAAGATCAGTACTCACTGCAGTGAGTGACAGAGCGCACTGTGCATGAAGTCACAGACAGACAGACAGACAGACGGACGGACATGACGAGCACAATAGCGCCATTTTTCAATAAATGAGAATATGCGCTAAAAACTGCACAACGTTTAATATAATCTTGCCGAGAATTGAGTCGATTCCTCCTCGCTATCTACATTTTAAAATTAATTTTAAAGTACATTACATTTTCGTATCTCGAACACTTCTCAGCTTAATTCACGTCGGTTGTGTTCACCTATTTGTTGGGACTAATTCACTAGCAATTGTTGAGCTTTCGGCATTTAATTGAAAAATTTTGTGATAAAAAAGAAATTTAGTACGGCAAGATCCCGATGTAGATTATTCATGAACTCTGTGCATTGAAATAATATTTCACCATCGTTCGATCGTTCCCTATATAACAAGACTAGATACGTTTTTCTCGCCTAAATTCATATTTAACTTGCACCAGTTCTAATGCTTGCACTCCGTGCCTTTTCATCTAGCAACGAGTAAACTATTTATATTTTGACCTAATGTATCTTTAATAATAATATAAATATATAGCTTCTAACTTGTTCCTTGTTTTACCCAGAAGTGTTGGACAATGTGATGATGTTACGAAAGCGCCATCACTATATACCGTCTGGTAACTCAACAGGATACGTCGTCGCAACATATGTTGTGAAATGACGACAAATTTTCACCGCGGTAGCACCTTTTACGTTAATTCGGCCTTCAATGCCCAATACTCTAGTTCGTGTTGAGCTCTTAATTATTGATGACGCTCAGTGCACCGCTTTTGTCCTTATTTATACTGTAATTTTTGACTCACGACAATACTGAACCACTGCTGTTTGTTGTTCTTATCAGGGTTTGATTGGTTCAAGTTAAACGCACGCGGGATGCCATTTGTTCCGTGTTGCGTCTCTCCCTTCAACAAAAATAAACGCTTTGTCTTGCTCGTGAAAAAGTTATCAAAACTGGGAGTATTATACTCTTATGGCTTTTCTTTGATAAAAAAATAACTTGCATTAGAAATTTTTCGTAAGTCCTTCATTGCTCACAACGCATCATCGATACTTGGTACTCGAGTTTGTAGGTCTCGGGCGAATTTTCTAATTTTTATACGCATAAAATCAAAACATCATATTTCGTTTTTAGTCTCAGTTCATACGTTCATTTTTTATCAATAATGTAGAATCTTTTTGCTCCTTCCCCCCAAACGCTGCTGTTTTCTTTCGAGATGACAACAACGTTCATCTAACTAAATTTGTCGCTTAATTGAGTGTATTTACAGCCTCACGGTTAATAAAAAATCTATGCAGCTTTTGGATTATTTATATTAATACGCTACAAAATTTTTTATGTGTATTGCAATATATTTTTGATGTATTTAATTTTATTTTCCTATTGATAATCATCTCCTTTACTACCATCACAAGATAACGAAAATCTCTGCTCAGTATTACGTGTTCCTTAACTTAAGTTGCGGCAGGCGACTGCAACGCTGATCGAGTAATGATCCAGTAGAATAGTGACGTCTTGCCCATGCATCGCATTCCCTTACATATCAGTATGACAATATGTCACTATAGGCGTCAAATGCACTTCTCATTCTGCTGCGAACTTGTCAAATTGTCGTCCATATTAATTTTAAGTCTCACTTGCTTCGGGTCTAGTTTTAATTACTTTTGCTAACATCAAGACTTTTGTTAAGGGAGCACATTTTTCCTTTTAGCTTCTTTATTTTTTTAAGTGAGAAAACATTTACTGAGCAAATGGATCTTTTTCTGTTGCTGGCATCAAGACTTAATGTTATCCTAGGTAAATATTCCAGTTTCAGATCATAATTTAAATATTCATACTGTTCCCCAAAAATTTCTGAAATCTCCCTATGTCCGAAAAAAGTCTATGGCCAATATAGGCTTCTCGATGCACTACACATCATCTCTGATGTCTTCTTCGTTAAGAGGAACGTATTGAACTAACGAGAACTCCTTCCTTTTAGTTACCTGCATTAGACGTATTTGTGGTGATTTAAAATTATTGGTGTAGAGCCAAGTAACAAATAGGGATTGATAAATTGTGGTCATAGGATAATTATTCATTTAACTACTCAGGAAGTAACTATCTTGACCAGGGCCCATACTTTCAAAACAAGTTAAGAGATCGTAAGTTCATCAGCCAATCATTGACGGCCTTTCAAGGAAAATCCACCAATCATAGACAAGAAAATAGAGCGTAAGTACTTACGTTCACTTAGCGAATTTTGAAAGTATGGCCCCAGCTGTGTTGCTAACATTGCTCGATTTAACATTTTGTTATGTCAGTACAACGTTTGGAGCATTGCAGGTGTAAGGTTATGTATCGCAATAAATCTCTTCTAGATTATACATACTAACTCTCGGCTATTATTATTCGGAATTTTTTTCTATTGCACTAACTCTTGTACATTGTACGTTATTGGCTGCGTTTAACTCTCGGCTATAATTATTCAGAATTTTATAGTATTGCACTAACTCTTTCACATTCTATGGTGTTATTAGGTGCGATCATCCGGCACTGTTTTTCTAGTTTGATTAATTCGTTCTTTATATGATTTATTTTTGTTGCATTAGAATGTATTCAAACTACCTATTCATGTTTGAGAGCTGATTTTATCTATAGTTCTGTGCTTCAGATTCAAACCACAAAATTTATAGATCCCAAAGTATTCTTTAGCAGCAGATGTTGTTATGTTCTTTTTATCTATTTAAGTTTATATGATCTTTCGTTTTCAAGTTCTTTCGGTTTTCATTAATATGTGCCTTATTTTACTTGACTCCCATCCGCTCTTTGCTATCCCACAAAACATACACATCTTTCACTATTCACTTATCAAATATGAAATCAATATGTTCATTTTGTATAATTTATTACTACTGTGCTTGTACTTTACCCGGAGATATTCATGATCTCTCACTGTAAGTATCCCTGCATAATGTACTGTTTATCAGAACCATACGTTTACTTTGCCAGAAAAGACTCCTATATGAGCGCTGGGCCGCCACACCATATCCATGTGTCGCCACAGTGTATCCATGTGTCGCCACACCATATCCATGTGTCGCCACACCATATCCATGTGTCGCCACAGTGTTAGAAATGGTTTAAATGAGGCAGGATAATAAGGAGAGCATTGTGGTCGGCGGCGGCGAGTGAGTGATGAAGCCTTTAACTCTTATTATTCGCATGAGAGAGAGAGAGAGCAAATGGTTTAAATGAGGCAGGTTAATGAGAGCATCGTGGTCGGCGGCGGCGAGTGAGTGATGCGGTTTTCAAGTCTTATTCTAGAGGCTAGACCACTTCATTTCCGAGTTTTCTGCATAGTCGACGGCCATTTTGGTGGTTTTATCAGTCAATACTTATAGCATTCAAAATTTAAGTTATCGTTTCTTGAATTTCTTTTTGCGGGGTTTACTTTTTGTAGCTCTTTCAAGTCGATTTTTAAGCTTATCAAGGGTCAAATTAGTTTTTTGCAATATAATTCGATTCCTCTGGATGAAATTTATGTGCCTAAAAAGTATATTTTTAAACTTCTTGGAAGTTATCTTTGGTCCCTGTTGGCAGTACAACGTGTGCTCAACTCTGGTTGAGATACCCGACCTACTTATCTATGTACCTCCTCAAAGTTCACTGCTGGTCGTCTCTAGACTTAATCTCTGCACCTTTTCGAAGTCGACTGAGTTGCCTTTTCTTAAGTTAATCTTAACCTCTCCTTAGCCAATATTTTATGTTGCTCTCAATTTGAATTTTATTCCATGCTCTTTCAACGCAATATTTGAAGTTGAACCATTGCCATCTGTTGATATACTTTTCATTTAACCAGTATGGAGCTGACGAGAGATAATTGTTTTTAGATTCTCTTTTTTGTGTTAATTGACTTCCATACATCATTCGCGCACGCATGGTTATATCCTGTCTCAATTCTTTGAAAATTAGTTAGGTTATTATTGAATTTCTACATTTCATCTCACGATGAAAGTAATTTTTTTTTCGCACTCAATCATACGATAGAAAAAATTGATTTCGAACTGCCTTATATACTTACTTTTAATAAGCACCGACATAGTTTTTATATTACAGTTTATTTTACTCTACAAGCTACTCCTACAGCTTCAGATCAAAAGATCTCAGCATAAATTAACTGCTCTCCCAAACTACTTTCCTGTAGAAATGTTCTGGTAAAATTCCATCCCAAATCGGCAAAATCATTTCTTTTTAAAATCAACCAGGCTCTCACGGAGTAAAGGATAGTCGCTAGATGGTGTGCAATGATGTCTGCAACGTGTCGCATACATACATTTTTTTTTTCAGTCACTTCGGGATCTGGCTGGACGGAGATTGTGCTCGTCATGTCCGTCTGTCCGTGACTTCACGTTTTCGTCGATTTTGAGAAAATGCGCTCTCTGTCTTTCACTGCAGTGAGTACTGAGTTGTATTTTTTCAGTCACTTCGGGATCTGGCTGGACGGAGATCTGTACCGCGGTCGAACTCAGCCCTGCAACACCTACGATAGTCCCGTGCTCGGGCCCTCTGAAGACTTCGTCATCAAGACTCTCGAGTGCTGGGCTTTCGTCTAAGCAGTTTTTATTTTCGTCTAAGCATTTTTTTTCGTCTAAACAGATTTTTTTCGTCTAAGCAGTTTTTTTTCGTCTAAGCAGATTTTTTTTCGTCTATACAGATTTTTTTCGTCTAATCAGTTTTTTTTCGTCTAAGCAGATTTTTTTCATCTAATCAGCGTATTTCTTAGATACATATAGGGGCTACTTTTTGCATAACTTGGCTCTATTCCTTCATTACGATATCCAACAACTTGTTGCAGGAATTATTTGAACAAACGGCATTTCTGCACTTTGATGGCCCTTTATATTCACCATTAAATATTTTCTTGTAGTATTTATTTACTATGCTCGCGTCTTGCATATAAACTGAGCTGATGGGTTGCGGGCCTTTAAGCATTCTATTGGGACGTTATTGAACATAATTCTGGTTCATTTTGTGCCCCTATTAGTATCTTTGTGAATTATGGAACAGGTGAACGCATTTTGCATGGACATTTTTCTACTGAAATTTATTAGTGAATGAATCGAATGTTCCAACGGAAGTGTAACTTCATCCTGAAAATAATTTTTTCAGATGAATTTGATATTTTTGGCTAAGTTTCTGAAGTTAGACTTGCGCTTCGAGACTTCAGAGGTTGGCCGCGTAATATTGAAATATTAGTTATTTTGAAATCTCTGAATATTAGATGTAATTGTCATCTTTGTCTTCGTATTTACTGACCGAATATATACGAAGTCTGCCACTTGGCCAGCAATGAGTCATTGTGAAAATATCAGGTATCTGCGTCAGCGCAAAGGAGAATATTTTGGTTTGTAAACAAACAATGTCAGCAGGACGCAGTGTTGTGGGTTGAGCTTCTGTGGGAACTTATGTTGGTTGTTGAACTTGTTACGCTCTCGTGTGTGTCGCGTTGCTCTCTGGTTGTGGTAGATCATGGTGGTGGTGGTGGTAAGATCATGTTGTAGTGGTGGTGGCGGTGGTAAGATCATGTTGTGGTGGTGGTAGTGGTGGTAAGATCATCTTGAGGTGGTTCATGTCTGCTCGGTAAACAGTGCTAGATTCAGTTGAAGTTCGCTGGCTGTTTCACTCGAGTATCTTGACATTGTGATGAGAAAAATGCTGTATGTTTTGGCTCTACTTATTGATTTTCACATTAACGGCTTATATGCTTAGATGAAAGGTCTCAAGCTGCGTTTTTGAATTTCCAGTATAACTTAATGATATATGAAGAGTTTTTCTTTGAAGTTCAGCATGCTTCGTATTTAGACCTTATGTTGCGACCGACAAATTGTTTATCGCGAGGCCAAGAGAGAAAATTATTTCGTTAGTTCCGAACTTCATCAAATATTCTGGTATTGCCAACGAATAATGAAATTATATTACAGTTCGTCATCATCATTGTCATTGTATCTTTGGACGTGTAGAGTCAGCTATGCTTGTCATAATCGTTCTCTCCGCCACGGAGTTAAGTCTGAGATTTATTCATGTTAATTGCTCAATGTTAGCTGCCTTGCCACTTTATTGCTGGATTGCGGTCTCAGTTTCGTTGAAACACTTCGAAATCATCAGCTTGAAACTAAAAACCAAGTTTAAACTGCATGGCATCTTGTTTTCTCTAGCTTGTGCTTTGTTTATTTTCTCAATTGTTATTTAAAAATAATTCTCATTTTATGAGAAAAACTAGGAACTCTATGTTTTCTAGATGAAAAACAAATTATGCGTCAAATTTATATATGCGAGTTGCAGTGCTGCTCCTATTTTATAAGAAGCTTGTGCTTCTCAAGCATCTGTGTACAATTTTTGTATTTATTGCTTATTTATACTTATCTTAGTCATAGATTATGTGCTGTACATTAGCTCCTTTTTGCATTACCTTCCATTTAAAAACTCAATTATTCCTACTTTTATATTCTATGAATTACACGATATTTTCTCATTTGATAATTCGTTTTCTTTGAAAGGCTTTCTTTTAGAGGTAGATTTAAGCTATCACTATTGTATTTGCGTATAGTGATCACATTCACACGCTGAAGCGAAATTAAGTTGTCTATAGAATAAAAGTTTTGATGCATATGCCGCTCTCGCTGCACAAACTCTCCTTCCTGAGAATGTGAAAATGATGCTGGAATCATCGTCCGGAGCTTAAATCTTGATTGAAATCAATCAACACGTCATTATATTTGAAAATGATCGAATTTGATGAAGTTACCGTCTTTATTAAGCATTTTATGTTGGATTGAATTGTGGACACCTCGTTATTAGGTGTTTATTTCTGTTGGACTGAGCTATGGTATCCAGTTTACATAAGATGTTTTCTTCCTAATTTGAATGAGTGTTCGTTTCGTTTGAACACAACTCTGATCAGACAGATTTTAAATGTGTCATTTCATCACATTTTGAAGACTAAGATTTTTCTCGCAACATTTTTTGGCGATCGGAAACTATTTAAATCCGACCCCTCAAAAATGCTTCAAGGTCTTATTATTGGGGTTTCACCATTTTATCATTTGATTTTATTATTTTACAGCTGTATTGTCGATAGTGAAGTTGCCTGCGTTTAGACGGTTTTTGCCTCACGTTCTCTAAACAATCTTGAAATTCTAAATTTCATTTCACTAATTATTTGACCACAACCTCGTTCACCCGCACGCACATTGGATCGTTCCCTCCCACTTAGGCCCTCATTAACAAAACGATGCCATTGTCTGCACGACTTAGAAGACGATAATGTGCACCAATGCTTTCTTCTTGTCTAGCTTCATCGCCTTACAAAATTTATGGTATGAAAGCGTACCTCTAGTGGATGGATTTGTTTGCCGGGCTACCCGCGTCGTACATGTTGTTGGGTTCTGTGCTGCTGGTTGAGAGATTGTCGCTCGAAGCATTTACTGCCACTTAAGTTCGCAATAATCGTTCTGCTTGAGGTTACTGTGTCCAGATTCATGAAACGTTCATGCTTTATGAACGGTCTTTGAGAACATTGTTTATGAATAGGTTAAATAGGTTGATATTTCATTAATAAGTTTAAATTGTGATAGTTGGACTGTAGGTTAGATACATGGATCGTTCATAATTGATAAAGCTAGATACGTTGATGTATTCCGTTAGCTGATGGTGTGTCGATCGTCCTCGATGTAGGTGATGCTTGAAGACAGCTTAGCTTTTTTTCAGCAGTTACACCTAATTTTCAGTTTTGCTGCTTTGTTTAGCAGGTATATTATGCTCTATCCGCTTGTTTGTTTTCAGCTCTATAAATCTTTTTCGAAAATATTTATGAATTAGGAATTCACGTTTGCTCTAAAATTTATTTCAAATGCAACAGCTTGCTGCTGTTGTCGAAGCAAAAAATTTTTATTTTGAGCTTATTTACTCACTCTATTGGTCCGCTGTCATGCGTAATGGAAACAAAATATTTTAGTTCTTCGCGTGAAATTTTTCGGATACACTTGGTTGGCGAGAGACTACGACTCGCGCTCAGAGTGCTTGCTCGCTCCATTAAACTGTTATTAGCTCGTCTAACGGAACGATATTTTACTGAGTTCTAGACTCATATTTTCAGGAGTGTATGTATTGATCAGATCTTCTCCTTACCCTAAGCCTTAACGCACGCAATAACTTCTAGAGTTAATGCCTTTTACTGTGGATAGTCCTAAGCCTCTGTAGATTGCTCATTTCTGATGAGGTCTGCGAGCTGAACACTCAGTGCTTTTTGTAGAGTGCGATACGAAGATCCTTTTTGGGCAATGGGCTCATTACAACAACCTTTACGAATAAACAAGGAAACTGATTGTTAGAAATCAAGAAGAAATTTAGTATACTGAAATGGTGGTGAGTTATATTTTACCCACCACTCGTTTGGTGATAGATGTAGGTTTTCTTGCGTGGGCGTCTCGCAGATATGAATTTTTGCTCGCTGTATGGCACGAGACGAAACTTTCATGGTCCTCAATGGTGCTAAATTTTGTTCCGTTCTCTTGCTCATTGCATTGGGTAATGGATTTTTACGTCGATTTGTCTACGAGAGTCTCGTGCTCGCGTACTATGTATGTGAGAATTGTTTAGAGTTCTTGTGGCGAAAGTAATGCTCGTTGTTTAGAGTTTTTGCGGCGGAAGTAAAGCTCGCAGCACCCATGTATTAGTTAGTACACTCGTGTTATCCTGCACTCTGTACTCTCTGTATACTTATTGAGCACTCACAGCACTTGTTGGTTGTCGCTATCGACGCACCTGGTATCTTGTCTACGCTGGTTCTTTTCTCTTCTAGTGCTCGAAACTTTGTGAAGAATTAATAAAAACTGACCAGATGCATTGCGAAGGCGGGTTTATGTTATTAATTTAATTCGCAATCAACGATTATTACTACTTCTGCCCGGTAAGACTTACAATTTATGATGTTCTAAGTAATATGTAATTGTGGATTAGAGAAACTCCTATCGTTTCTCTGAATACTCATTTTCGTATCGTTACTCATTTTCGTATGTAATTGTCCAGATCGAAGTTGTGCTTTATTATTGACATTTATTTTCATTTTAATCTGAGCCAAACTGGGTCATTAGATTAAATAAATAATTTATTACTGTAATCGTACAACGAAAACTGTGTCACTTTCATCGGTCGTTTTGATTTTAATGTTCGTTGGCCCCACTCCGTCTTTCGTTGGTGTCTCAGTTTCCTGTTCGTAAGTCTTTCTCACTAGTCGCTCTCTTCTGAATTAATACTAGTGATATTCAATTTTGGACATTACCGCTACTTAATTTGATGTTTATTTAACGATTGGTCTCTCTCGCGATGTCTCGTATACCACCAACAAAGATGTGCGTGATAGCTACCTATACGTTCTTCAGATGATTCGAAATCTTGCTTAAACTAATTTAAGTTAAAACATAAAGGAAGTTAAATTCTTTTTGGGTAGACGCACATTAATTCAACGTAACCTATCGTTGACAGTTTTTAAATCGATTTTGTCGATAAACATTAGATGACTGCTTTGATAGCCTCTTCATTTTTTTCAGAGAAAATGTGCTCCTTTAATTACTCAGCTTTCAATGAGTAAAATTGTACTTCATCTATA